TATACAACTAAGTACAGCCATAACTGTCTTGGAAAAAAAAATATATATTAATATTTTCATATTAATTTTTCATATTTGTTTTTCTCAAATCTGATATATATATTTGACTGATAAAGCACCATATTTCATCGGTAAAATTAAATAGTCCCTGTGGTTCAGTTTTTGGTGCAAGCTAGTATCTCCAAAACTACTGAAGAGATTGGATTGAAACTTCACACACTTGTTCTCTGTGATTATCTAACATGATTGGCACAAGTCCTATACCTTTTTTTGCATAATTATGCCCCGTTTTCAACTTAGAAATTCTTATTAAAGTTTTTGCTTGTAGGCTGTTATCTCCATATGCAATTTATGCATTCATATTAATAAGGCAGTGATTTACTCGATAAAACATCTAAATAACAAGCCTTTGTACCTTTCTGGACAGTTTTTAGCTCGACTATTCGATAAGAATAAGTAGAGCTATTGTAGTCACCCGAGCGTCGGCGTCAGCGTAACCACTTATGTTAAAGTTTTTGTAATAGTTCAAATATTTTCAAAGTCCATTGACATATGGCTTTGAAACTTTGCACACTTGTTCACCATCATGACCCCAACATGTAGACAGGAGGAGGTAACTCTATCAAGCATTTTGACAGAATTATGCCCCTTTTTTGACTTAGAATTTACGTTAAAGTTTTTGTAATACCTCAAATATTTTCAAAGTCCATTGACATATGGCTTTGAAACTTTGCACACTTGTTCACCATCATGACCCTTACCTGTAGACAGGAGGAGGTAACTCTATCAAGCATTTTGACAGAATTATGCCCCTTTTTTGACTTAGAATTTTTGTTAAAGTTTTTGTAATAGTTCAAATATTTTCAAAGTTCATTGACATATGACTTTGAAACTTTGCACACTTGTTCACCATCATGACCCCAACCTGTAAACAGGAGGAGGTAATTGTATCAAGCATTTTTTTTTAACTATCAAGCACTAAGAATAGTCGAGAGTTGCTGTCCTACCAACAGCTCTTGTTTATATTCATATAAGTAAGCATTATTATAATCAACAAAACATGTTTGTGACAACTTTTCGAATAGTTGAGCGTTACTGTCCTCAATAGTTCTTGTTTTCTAATAAAATTTAAACATGATATAAATGTCTATCAGGTGTGCAATGGATTTGCATGAAGAAAGATATCAAGATATATACTTTGTTCAAATGTTTAAACAGAAATATAGAAAAGAACATCAAAGCCTTAACTTGAGTGTATATTATGGTTTATATACTTTCCACGATGTAGAGCTGTGGTAGTCAATATTTCATAATTAATGATTGCAGAGTACTGTTTGCCTGTACATGAGATATTTAAATTTCCTTAGATTTTAAATGGGAAAATGGTGCAATTTCTGTTTTCCATTTATATGAAGATGTTCATGCAATAAATATAGTGTTAAGATGGATTTTCTAGTGTTGACAATAATTTCTTTGATCTTATTAGCAAAAGGTATTTCTCCTTTTTAATTCAATGACATCTTTCCCAAAATACATGTATATTTCATTTATAGATACTTTTTTGTTAAAGAAAAATGATAGTTAAACTATGGAACTGACTAAAATAAAAGAAAATGAACATAATTTAAGGCATTGTGTATGTATTTGTATGTGGGCTAACAAAGTTTTATTAACCAACTTCATGTTTGCATTTGTGGGAACTGAATAATAGTTATGTAAGCAGCAACAGCGTCAACCAAATGTAGTTATGATTGTCGGGACTAAAAAATATGGTCGGCCATCGGGGTATTACAGGTTTTTCATGACCAGTTGAAATTATAAGGAGCTAATAGGGATACTAAACAAAAACAGACTAGTGTGTGGGTATACAGTGAATGTTTTTATAACCCGGTGTCGTTGCCAACAAGTTTTACTGTATATAAACAAGGGGTGATTGGGAAGTCTTACAAGTTGACAGCACCTGTCATCTTAATGCATTCAATTTTTGTTAAAAATGATTGTGAAAATCGAATTCTTGAACCTAATATATGCTCATTGCTTCTGAATTTCAAAATTTAAATAAAAATACCATATTCCCCCCATACTCCTATAAGCTCCCACCCCCTTCTTTGCTCTCTAACTTGATTGTTTAATCTAATCAAACAAAAACAAAATGGTGACAATATTTCAAAAATGCATTATTAATAGCTAGGTAAATCCCACACTTTTTGATGGGGCGTATTTTTTGACATTTTACACTTGTTTTGGATTGTGTTTTTTTAGGGAAAACCAGCAATATTTTTGTATATGTGCTTAGATAACAGTTAATACATGTGTGATTTGATAAAAGTTTTACTGTAGAAGACAGTTGAAATAATTTTGTATCTTGTTTGTTTTGAGTATAACAATTTTTGTGTCGCCTTGAAAAGGTGACATATAGGGGTTTCTTTTGTCGGCGGCGGCGGCGTCTGTGTCGGCGTCGTTGTTGTTGTCGGCGTCGGCGTCCGCTAAAGCTTGTCCGGAGCATAACTCAGTCACTATAAGTCTGATTGACTTCAAACTTGGTATGCATGCTTCTTTCAATAACCCGAAGTGCAGTGCACAAGGACCAGTACTCTGCAGTTCTTATTTTTTGAGTTATTGCCCTTTGTTAATTTTCATACTTTAATTTTGTCCGGGCCATTTCTCTTCAACTAAAAAAGCTATGGACTTGAAACTTCATAGGATGATAGATCTCATTAAGAAGAAATGCAGTGCACAAGAACCAGTACTCTGCACTTCCTAATTTTTTAGTTATTGCCCTTTGTTAATTTTCATACTTTATTTTTGTCCGGGCAATTTCTCCTAATGTATAAAAGCCATGGACTTGAAACTTCATAGGATGATAGGTCTCATTAAGAAGAAGTGCAGTGCACAAGAACTGGTACTCTGCATTTCTTATTTCTTGAGTTATTGCCCTTTGTTTATTTTCATACTTAATTTTTGTTATAAAAATTATGGACTTGAAACTTCATAGGATGATAGATCTCATTAAAAAGAAGTGCAGTGCATAAGAACTGATACTCAGCATTTCTTATTTTTGAGTTATTGCCCTTTGTTGCTTTTCTTACTTTATTTTTGTCCTGGTCATTTTTCCTCAAGTATGAAAGCTATGGACTTGAAACATCATAGAATGATAGATCTTATTGATAAGAAGTGCAGTGTACAGAAACTGCTGCTCTGCACTTATTATTTTTTTTAGTTATTGCCCTTTGTTATTTTTCATATTTCATTTTTGTCCTGGCCATTTCCCCTAAACTACATTGTTCACAAGACGACACATCCGACTCGCGGAGTTCTAGTTTAAGTGGTGATATCTTTCAGAATTGTATTACAACGATAACAATGTTGACTACTTGTACAGTGATCAGTGACCTTTATTTGCTCATAAATGGTCCCGTTGTGTCCTCAATAAGGTCAGAAAGATTGCTGCTTTTGGTTTTATTGGAGAATTGCATATAAATTTTAGAAAATAAAAATGTAAAAAGGTGACTGTGTTCTTTATATTTTAAACATCAGATGTTGTTAAGACTTCCAAATGAACATCAGTGGAGTCACCAGACACTTTCAGCTTACCATTACAAAAGAGCTCATTATCAGCTATTACATGTGCGGCTGTCAGTCGTTGTGCGCCGGCCTTGAATCTTTTGGTGGACCACATTTGTGACCCAATTTTAATATAAAAAAATGCTAGAATCCTTGGCAAAGGTCGAAAATGTCTGATTTACCAGGTCAAATCGTAGACAATCCTTGTTGACAATATACTCTTGTGGTCACATTTGTAATATAATTTTGTTGAAACTTGTGATAGAACACCGTTAAGTAAATTGTTTTTATTATAGTGTCGCCCCTACTGAAAGGGGCAGTCAAACTGGTTTATGATGCACCTTTGACACTTCATAGTAGTACTTCGCGGTTCTTGTTCTTTAATGCCAGAAATAATGCAGGTTATAATTGTTAATTAAACTGATGGCTCTCCAACCCGTCACGTCAGTAAGAAGTATGGCCACTTAGGGGACTTGAACCTTATCCACTAGGGGCATGTTCCCACTTCGACGAATCTCTTTTCGCCGAGAGAAATTTTATAGGGACAGGTCCCGAGTTTGAATTTTCTCTGGTCCCCATAAAATGTTCTTCTCCCGAGAAAATTTTTGTTGGCACATGTCCTCGCTACCACATCTCGCACTCGTCCCCATTTAGTTTTCTCTCTATATACTTGATGAAAAGCAAACGGAAAAATAAATGAACATGGTGTAGGGGAGGGAACTCTGATTCAAAAACACCAAGAGTTGTTTTTAGAACTAGTCCTTGTACGAGTCCCCAGATTGTAGGATTTCGTTTACTGTCACCTTTGACACTTCATAGTAGTACCTCGCGGTTCTTGTTCTGTAATGCCAGGAATAAGGCAGGTTATAATTGGTAATTAAACTGATGGCTCTCCAACCCGTCACGTCAGTAAGAAGTATGGCCACTTAGGGGACTTGAACATTATCCACTAGAGGCATGTTCCCACTTCGACGAATCTCTTTTCGCCGAGAGAAATTTTATAGGGACAGGTCCCGAGTTTGAATTTTCTCTGGTCCCCATAAAATGTTCTTCTCCCGAGAAAATTTATGTTGGCACATGTCCTCGCTACCACATCTCGCACTCGTCCCCATTTAGTTTTCTCTCTAAATACTTTATGAAAAGCAAACGGAAAAATAAATGAACATGGTGTAGGGGAGGTAACTCTGATTCAAAAACACCAAGAGAGTTGTTTTTAGAACTAGCCCTTGTACAAGTCCCCAGATTGTAGGATTTCGTTTACTGTCCCCATTTAACGGTTTGAAACATCTAGAGAGTACTGCTGAAAATGAGCATGACAATAGATTTGAAAATGAGATTGCTAATGATAAAGGTCGTGACATATCCTTGATGGATTGTCATCAAAGTCATGATGACAGAGAGGTAATGGAAATTTGAGATGGTTTTTTTTTCCAATATGTGAATTTGTAATCAGCATGAATGTGTCCGAAGGGACCATCTTTAGTTAAATCATTGGCTATTTGTTGAAAAAAAAACACTAATGACAGAGGCCTCATCATGTTAATTTTTACTAAAGAGTAACTTTTGACAAAGTATGTCAGTAAATGTCCAAGATACCATCATATAATTATGTACACACATGATTTGAGAGTATAGGTTTGAGTATTCTGCGTTTATATGTAGATTGGAATTCAGTGACTGTTAAAAGATATTGATACTTTATTCTTATTGTTTTGTTTAAATCAGAGTTAGGTTGAAAATAAACATGACATAAGATTTGAGAATGAGATTGCAAATGATTGCGGCTGTGACTTGTCCATGATAGATTGTCACAAAAGTCATGATGACAAAAAGGTAATGGAAATTTGAGTTTTTTTTTCCATTTCATAATTTGTTATCAGCTTGTATGTGTTCTAAGGGACGAACTTTAGTTAAATGATGGACTATTTGTTGATAAAGCTCTTTGAGAACGAATATGCCTCTTCATGTTAATTTTTTACTTAAGGTGTATATATTGGAACAGTAGGTCAGTAAATGTCCAAGATACCATTACATATATATGCATGATTTAAGAATATAAGTTTTAGACTTTTTGAAATATGTAGATTGGAATTTAGTGCCTGTTATATAATATAGAAACTTGTTTTGAATTTTTTAATCAGACTCTCTCAACTGATGAAACCATGAGTAATGCTGAAAATGAGCATGACAATATATTTGAAAATGGGCTTGCAAATGATAAAGGTCGTGAAATATCCTTGATGGATTGTCATCAAAGTCATGATGACAGAGAGGTAATGGAAATTTGAGATGGTTTTTTTTTTCCAATATGTGACTTTGTAATCAGGTTGAATGTGTCCCAAGGGACCATCTTTAGTTAAATCATTGGCTATTTGTTGAAAAAAAAGCACTAATGACAGAGGCCTCATCATGTTACTTTTTACTAAAGAGTAACTTTTGACAAAAGTATGTCAGTAATTGTCCAAGATACCATCATATATGTACACACATGATTTGAGAGTATAGGTTTGAGAATTCTGCGTTTATATGTAGATTGGAATTGAGTGCCTGTTAAAAGATATTGATACTTTATTCTTATTGTTTTGTTTAAATCAGAGTTAGGTTGAAAATAAACATGACATATGATTTGAAAATGAGTTTGCTTATGTTGCTTTTAATTGTAGTGAAAATATGTTTATATGCCAAGTTGGACAATGAATGTCCAAGATACCGAATTATGTATTTGATACGAGGATATTGGTTTAAAGTTTTTTGAATCAGATATTGATTGGAATTCTGTGCCTGTTATATGTTAATAGTAGGAAGCAGACTTGTTTCCAAACATTTTGATGTTATTATAACAACTTAGTGTTCAACTTATCCTGCGTACGCATACTGCATTGGTTCAGAATTCTCTTTTGGCTTGTTTTATCCAAATAATTTCCAATCTGTTTCACTTTTATAGCTGTTTGATTTGTATTGTCATTTTTGTATTCAGACCATGTCAAATAATGAAACTGTGACTCATTTTGAAAATGAGCAGGACATAAGATTTGAGAATGAGATTGCAAATGATTGCGGCTGTGACTTGTCCATGATAGATTGTCACAAAAGTCATGATGACAAAAAGGTAATGGAAATTTGAGTTTTTTTTCCATTTCATAATTTGTTATCAGCTTGTATGTGTTCTAAGGGACGAACTTTAGTTAAATGATGGACTATTTGTTGATAAAGCTCTTTGAGAACGAATATGCCTCTTCATGTTAATTTTTTACTTAAGGTGTATATATTGGAACAGTAGGTCAGTAAATGTCCAAGATACCATTACATATATATGCATGATTTAAGAATATAAGTTTTAGACTTTTTGAAATATGTAGATTGGAATTTAGTGCCTGTTATATAATATAGAAACTTGTTTTGAATTTTTTAATCAGACTCTCTCAACTGATGAAACCATGAGTAATGCTGAAAATGAGCATGACAATATATTTGAAAATGGGCTTGCAAATGATAAAGGTCGTGACATATCCTTGATGGATTGTCATCAAAGTCATGATGACAGAGAGGTAATGGAAATTTGAGATGTTTTTTTTTCCAATATGTGACTTTGTAATCAGCTTGAATGTGTTCCAAGGGACCATCTTTAGTTAAATCATTGGCTATTTGTTGAAAAAAAAAGCACTAATGACAGAGGCCTCATCATGTTAATTTTTACTAAAGAGTAACTTTTGACAAAAGTATGTCAGTAAATGTCCAAGATACCATCATATATGTACACACATGATTTGAGAGTATAGGTTTGAGAATTCTGCGTTTATATGTAGATTGGAATTCAGTGCCTGTTAAAAGATATTGATACTTTATTCTTATTGTTTTGTTTAAATCAGAGTTAGGTTGAAAACAAACATGACATATGATTTGAAAATGAGTTTGCTTATGTTGCTTTTAATTGTAGTGAAAATATGTTTATATGCCAAGTTGGACAATGAATGTCCAAGATACCGAATTATGTATTTGATACGAGGATATTGGTTTAAAGTTTTTTGAATCAGATATTGATTGGAATTCTGTGCCTGTTATATGTTAATAGTAGGAAGCAGACTTGTTTCCAAACATTTTGATGTTTTTATAACAACTTAAGTGTTCAACTTATCCTGCGTACGCATACTGCATTGGTTCAGAATTCTCTTTTGGCTGGTTTTATCCAAATAATTTCCAATCTGTTTCACTTTTATAGCTGTTTGATTTGTATTGTCATTTTTGTATTCAGACCATGTCAAATAATGAAACTGTGACTCATTTTGAAAATGAGCAGGACATAAGATTTGAGAATGAGATTGCAAATGATTGCGGCTGTGACTTGTCCATGATAGATTGTCACAAAAGTCATGATGACAAAAAGGTAATGGAAATTTGAGGTTTTTTTTCCATTTCATAATTTGTTATCAGCTTGTATGTGTTCTAAGGGACCAACTTTAGTTAAATGATGGACTATTTGTTGATAAAGCTCTTTGAGAACTTATGCGTCTTCATGTTAATTTTTTACTTAAAATGTATATATTGGAACAATGGGTCAGTATATGTCCAAGATACCATTACATATATATGCATGATTTAAGAATATAAGTTTTAGACTTTTTGAAATATGTAGATTGGAATTTAGTGCCTGTTTTAAAATATAGAAACTTGTTTTGAATTTTTTAATCAGACTCTCTCAACTGATGAAACCATGAGTAATGCTGAAAATGAGCATGACAATATATTTGAAAATGAGATTGCTAATGATAAAGGTCGTGACATATCCTTGATGGATTGTCATCAAAGTCATGATGACAGAGAGGTAATGGAAATTTGAGATGGTTTTTTTTTCCAATATGTGACTTTGTAATCAGGTTGAATGTGTCCCAAGGGACCATCTTTAGTTAAATCATTGGCTATTTGTTGAAAAAAAAGCACTAATGACAGAGGCCTCATCATGTTAATTTTTACTAAAGAGTAACTTTTGACAAAAGTATGTCAGTTAATGTCCAAGATACCATCATATATGTACACACATGATTTGAGAGTATAGGTTTGAGAATTCTGCGTTTATATGTAGATTGGAATTGATGTTTTTATAACAACTTAAGTGTTCAACTTATCCTGCGTACACATACTGCATTGGTTCAGCATTCTCTTTTGGCTGGTTTTATCCAAATAATTTCCAATTTGTTTCACTTTTATAGCTGTTTGATTTGTATTGTCATTTTTGTATTCAGACCATGTCAAATAATGAAACTGTGACTCATTTTGAAAATGAGCAGGACATTAGATTTGAGAATGAGATTGCAAATGATTGCGGCTGTGACTTGTCCATGATAGATTGTCACAAAAGTCATGATGACAAAAAGATAATGGAAATTTGAGGGTTTTTTTCCATTTCATAATTTGTTATCAGCTTGTATGTGTTATACCCCGCTATGCAACACTGACTGAACCTATCAGGCGTCTTACACATCAAGATGTGCTGTGGTGCTGGTCAGAAAGGGAAGACGAAGCATTCAACAAGCTGAAAGCTTGTCTAGCAAGTACCGAAGTCATGGTATATTCTAATCCCGATAAACCCACTGAAGTTCTAGTTGATGCTTCCCCTGTTGGCGTATCCGCAATTCTTACTCAAGATGGGAAAGTTGTAAGTTATGCTAGTCGTGCATTGACCGATGTGGAGCAGAGATATTCCCAGACTGATCGGGAAATGCTGGCTGTTGTTTACGGAGTTGAACAATTCCATTTATACCTATTTGCTTCTGAGTTCAAGGTGGTTTCAGACCATAAGCCGTTTCTTGGTATAATTGACAGTAAGAAACCTGCTTCTGCCAGAATGGAACGTTGGCGACTTCGATTGATGCCATATCAGTTCAAACTCCAATACCGACCAGGCCGAGATGAGTTGAATCCAGCCGACTACACGAGTCGACATCCACATGATAAGCCTAAGCGCAATAACGCTGCTGAAGCTTATGTTGCATACATCAGTCATAACACTGTGCCTAAGTCACAGACTTTAGACGAAGTCCGTGCTGCTTCACGCAAATGTCCTACTTTGCAGAATGTGATGTCTGCCATTCAGACTGGCGATTGGTGGAATGATCCTACTTAAATTTCGTATGTTCACTTCCGAGACGAGCTCTCAATCTATGATGGTGCTATTTTAAGAGATCATCGTTTGGTCATTCCAGCCCAATTACAAGAAAGGGTTGTTGATATTGCTCATCAAGCCCACCAAGGCATAGTCAAGACGAAACAGCTCCTCCAGGAAAAAGTCTGGTTCCCTTCTATTGACAAAATGGTTGAGGAGGCTGTGAAAAGCTGTATTCCATGTCAAGCATCATATCCTGGACATAACAAGAGAGAACCTTTATGTCCCACTGTTCTGCCTTCTAGCCTTTGGTCTGAATTGGCTGTTGATTTTTCTGGTCCATATCCATCTAGTCAGTACATCCTAGTAGTTGTAGATGAACATAGCAGATATCCCGAAGTTGAGATTGTACATTCCACATCGGCAAAGGTTGTAATTCCCAGACTTTAAGGCAAATTTGCACGTCAAGGGTTCCAAAAAGTTTTGAATCTGATAATGGTCCGCCTTTTCAAAGTCAAGACTTCGAAGACTTTGCCAATGCTTGTGGTTTTAAACATCGCCGTATCACTCCGCTGTGGCCGGAAGCGAACGGTAGTGTGGAACGGTTTATGGGCACTTTGAACAAGTTTGTTAGAGATTGCGTGTCAGGAAATAGAAATTGGAAGTCTGAACTTAATCAATTTCTTATGCAATATAGGGCAACACCCCACTCATCAACCAAAATTTCTCCGTTTGAAGCTCTAACCGGTAGAAAAATGAGTTTTGGTCTCCCAGATATTCCCAAGTCTGATCAAGCCCCAGTCTCTGATAGCATAGTAAACAATGATGCTATGAGTAAAACTAAGATGAAGGCCTATGCTGACCAAAGACGACACACGTCGGAGTCTAGTCTCAAACCTGGAAATCATGTCCTGGCAAAACAGCCAAAGCTGAATAAACTTACCCCACCGTTTGATCCAGATCCTTACACTGTAATTGAGACAAGAGGGCCATGATGGCCCTGAAGTCGCTCACCTGTATATAGGCCTCCCCCCCCCCAACGCCCTTGCAGGGCCAATTTTAACCCAAGGGCTTTTATTTGAACAAACTTGGTAGACACCCATAAGAAGATGTTTCATGCGAAACATCTAAGCTCTAGCTCATTGGGTTTTTTCAAAGAAGTTATTTTAAGTTTTTACTATACACATATAGTTAAAAACAATGACACCCCTGGGGCGGGGCCAGTTTTGACCCCAGGGCTTTTATTTGAACAAACTTTGTAGACACTTACTAGAAGATGTTTCATGCTTAATATCAAAATTCTAGCTATTTGGGTTTTTTCACAGAAGAGTTTTATGTTTTTGCTATACACATATAAGGAAAATCAATGACCCCGGGGCAGGGCCAATTTTGACCCCAGGGCTTTTATTTGAACAAACTTTGTAGACACTCACTAGAAGATGTTTCATGCTTAATATCTAAACTCTAGATATTTGGGTTTTTTCAAAGAAGATTTTTTAAGTTTTTGCTATACACATATAAGGAAAATCAATGACCCCCGGGGCGGGGCCAATTTTGACCCCAGGGCTTTTATTTGAACAAACTTGGTAGGCACCCATTAGAACATGTTTCATGCTAAATATCTTAGCTCTAGCTCTTTGAGTTCTTTAAAAGAAGATTTTTTAAGTTTTTACTATATGCATATAGGGAAAATCAATGACCCCCTGGGGCGGGGCCAATTTTGACCCCGGGGCTTTTATTTGAACAAACTTGGTAGACACTCATTAGAAGATGTTTCATGCTAAATATCTTAGCTCTAGCTCTTTGGGTTCTTTAAAAGAAGATTTTTTAAGTTTTTACTATATGCATATAGGGAAAATCAATGACCCCCTGGGGCGGGGCCAATTTTGACCCCAGGGCTTTTATTTGAACAAACTTGGTAGACACTCACTAGAAGATGTTTCATGCCAAATATCTAAGCTCTAGCTCTTAGGGTTTTTTAAAAGAAGATATTTAAAGTTTTTTCTTTCGGTTGCCATGGCAACCAGAGTTCTGCATGGAATTAAATTCTTTGAACAATTTTTAAAGGTGACCACCAAAGGAACATTCCTGTGAAGTTTGGATGAAATTGGCTCAGTGGTTTATGAGGAGATGTCATTTAAAGTAAAAGTTTACGGACGGACGACGGACGGACGCCGGACGAAAAGCGATCACAAAAGCTCACCCTGTCACTTTGTGACAGGTGAGCTAAAAAAGGGTAGTATGGTAACCGCAGAGCGGAATGGCCGTTATTTAACCCTAAACTCTTCATTTTTTAGGCCAATAAAAATGCAGTGATGCTGGAGGATGAAGAGGAATATGAAGCCCCTCAAGCCTCTAGTCCAGAATCTAGTAGCCCTGCTGCTCCTGAATTAGTACCTTGTCCTGAATCTAGTCTCTCTTCTGCTCCTGATATAACTCTTGTACCTGTCACTCCAAGGAGAAACCCTCCGTCACTCCAAGGAGAAACCCTCCTCGCTCTACTCATTCTGTCTTGCCTCAGAAAATGAAAGACTATGTGATGAGTAAACCTAAATGAGCCTTTAAGTAGTTTCAAGATTTTTAAATTGTTCTTTTTCTCTTAATGTCATTCATTAAGTAACATGCATTTGCATTTAATCAAAAATCATTTTTTATAATAGACAACTCTTCATGATTGTTCAAGTAAAGTTCTCTGAATTATTTATTGAATACAAAGCTGTAGTTATATTCCCAATTTAGTATTTTGATTGCCATAACTTTCAAGTATAAACCTTTAATGTTCTCATTTTAAGGGCAAACAATGAATATTCAATTAGGTATATTACTGAATTACTGAATATCTTTAAATAGTCGGTTCTGTTTGTTTGTAACATTTAAAATATTATGCACAGTTTAACAACATTTCATTGTATTATTGGTTCAACAGCAAGTAAGTTTATGACCATTTAAGACATTAGTGTTTGAAGTATTTCACGTAAAAAGATGATATGTGTAATTTCAGTGACATTTTGTAACCATTTTATATGTTTGGTAACTAAACAATGGATATACATATGTGCGTAACACCAAAGACAATAATTGTATAACTGTGTTGAATACTAGAGACGACATTATCATTGTTGATGTTCCTCATGAGGTATAACTTTAATTCAAGGTAGGGAGGAATGTCATGTTCATATCTAAATAGATGAATCTGACCTTTAGAAATTTAGTAGTATGTAACCTACAACAACAACAAACATGCCGTCAATAAAGTTATAAAGTGAAAGCGACTTATTTAGTGTAAATCCAAACAAACACACATGCTGTGTACTTGTTTTTCATGTTATATGATACATGAACACTAAAACCTTGTGACCCACAAATCAATAGGGGTCTTCTACTTAATATGGACAATCATCCTATAAAGTTTGAATATTGTGAGCTAAATGGAACTTAAGTTATGCTCCGGAAACCAAATTGCTAACGGATGGACAAACAGACGGACGGACGCGACAGGGTATAACATATGTCCGAAACTTTTTCCGGCATATAAAAAGTAATGCTAGTTGTGCATGTGATACAGTTTATGAATAATTTCTATTATTGTTTGGTCACAGGATGATGAAAGCCTTTAATAACTATTTCAGCAAGACTATGTCACCAAAAAGGAGCTGGATGCAGTTGTGGATGATCTAAGAAGCCTCCATAGGAGAGGAAGAAAACTAGAAGCAGCAGCAGCAAATACCACAAAGGAAGAGAAAATACCACAATTTCAAAGGAAGAGAAAATGAGACCGACATTGATTTAAAGCAACTGATTAAAAAAAGCTGACAATGAGTTCAATGCTGTTGAAATACTGCTGGTACATTTCTTTGACAAAGATCTGTCAGTGGAAAGAGAGCAAATATGAATGTTTATCTTGAGTCTGTATCACAAAAATATTTTCTTGTGCGACATAATACAAAAAATACCTAATGTGCAGAAGAAACTGCAGAAGAGGTTTTCGAAGGAGTAATTCTTCTCTCCAGTTACTTTGATGTTAGTTACTCTCCAGTTTCCAAGTTACTTTAAGATACATATGCCACTTACTTGAGATACGCCTGCAATAGTCAAGTAGATTTCCAAACAATTATCTTAAGATTTAATTGAAAGACATATCAAATGTTCAAGGACTGTGTAGTTTTCACAGATAAATTGTATTCTAAAGTTATGTCAGTAATGACACAAATGTTTTCAAATGAGTAAATATATTATCAGTTATAGTGTGAGTGGGCAGAGAGGAAATCAAAATCTGATAGCCGATTA